AATCCCCAGCACCCCATATGGATCCTCTAAGCCATCGGGAGTGATCTCTGAGTGCAGAACCAGGGGTAATCCCTGAGCAATAATGGATGTAGCACAAAAACAAAACAAAATAAAAACAAAAATACCCTTTCAGGGGCCACAGAGATACCCAGGGCTTGTGCCCAACCCTTGTTAGTGCCCACCTGCTTGCTGTAATGTGTTTGGTCCTGGTTCTGTGTCCAGCACCACACCCCCCAGCATTGTGGGGTGTGACCCAAAATAACCCGAAAACCTCACAAAATTATCCTTTCCTTTTAAATTTTACAGCAGTGTTCAATATTCTTACAAGTATAATTGATTATAAAGCTGCTAATTTCTAATTTCCTTTTGGCCACACCAGGCTGTGCACAGGGCTTACTCCTGGTGGGACTCAGGTTCGGGGAACGAACCCAGATCAGCGGATGCAGGCCTTACCTGCTGTGCTGTTTTGTACTGTAAACACATACAAATTCCAGCACTGAATATTCTTACTCTTACTGTTGAGTTTTTTCGTCTCCACTCAATTCAACACGCCATATGATACATAAGAAGTGAGAATGGACTGGTGGGCTTGGCTAAGGCAGGCCTGCGCAGTGTCAGAGGAGTGGCCTCGCCAGGCTCTTCCGGGACGACGGGCGAAGGGTGGGCGACGGGCGGACTCCCTGGGGTCTTCCAAGCGTAGTCCTTATAGTCGCAGTCTCGGTCATCAGAGTTCCCTCATCCTAGTCTCCTCGCGGACCTCAAAGTCTCCAAAGTCTCCGACTGGCCTTCTGACCCTCTGACTCTCTGACTCCCCCCCAGCCCCTTACAGCCTAGTTTATATAGAAATCCTGTAGGGTGGGGAAACAAAGGTGGGGTTGAACATTAACTAATCAACAAAGAGAGGTAAGACCACTCCTCCAGGAGATTAACTCAAGACAAAATCTCATCTAAAGAGATTACCCCAGATTACTAGATCTGCTCAAGGGCTCAAGGGTGGGGTTCCATTCAGGATGTGTTGCTTTCTCCTTTCCTCAGTGAGTAATCCAATTAGTCATAGTAAATTTACTTCTAATAATATTTCTAGCAGTGTCATTTTGTATGAGCACAGTAAGAGATACCACGCTTAAGGTTTGGTTCTTGCTGAAATCATCTCTCTCACTATATATTCCAGACCACAGTCCTCAGGGTAGGTTAGTGTCCCTAACCCCAGCAGGATGCTTATTCAGTTACCTCTTTTGGGTCATGGCAGAGTTTGTCCATGACCGTGCTCTTAACTAAGAGTTGAGCATTATGGTGCTTGGCCTGGCCCATTTCAATGCCAGGGTAGCTCACAGCTTGCCCTGTATCCATCAGTCCCTCGTCAGGACCCAGCTCTTGGAATGCTAGGAATAAGAGCAACTGAGGCTTAAGTCAAATAAATATGGATGCCCAGGAGTAAATATTATTTTGGAGTCAATTAATTCCCATGTTACATAGCGTAGCATCAGTTGTCTTCCTGTGTCTATACAAAAAGGACACTGCTTATAAACCATACAGAAGAATACAGGAAAGAGAAAAGCAATATAGGATTATTAGTTGTGCCTCAGTTGCTCTGTTGTAGGAGTGGCTCAATAGATCTTAAGCTCCCTGAGGGAGCAGCAGAATATTATCCAACACTCTTACCTGTTTGTTATGTGGATGAGAATATATTGATAATGTATATTAATAATACCTTATTATCTTTATTAATCCATTAAAAATGAGTATTTGGTTCAGATTGCCATGTCTTAAGCAATTTGCCTACTAGACTTATGCTGTATATTGTGTTTATCACTTCTTTCTAGGTGGCTTAAGTGACATGACCTGAAAGATTTAAAATGATTTTGCTAAAACCGAACTAGTAGCACTGTCCTTCTATTGTTCATCGATTTGCTCGAGCAGGCCCAGTAATGTCTCCATTGTGAGACTTGTTGTTACTGTGTTTGGCATATCAAACCTGACTTCCCTTTCTTTAGGGGAAGGTGATGAAGTTTTCATTTAAAACCCCACAATACTGTGAATGAGAGTTCTTTTAGTTACTGCGCCCATTGTGAGAGTGTTGTCATGTATTTTGTAGACTGGAGATTTTATCTTTTAAGAAATTACTACTATTATTCTCATCATCAATTTGTGTTATTTTAGGCCATACCTAGCAGTGCTCAGAGCTTACTCCTCGCTCTGCGCTCAGGGATCACTCCTGGCAGGCTCGGGGAACCCCATGGGGTGCTGGGATCACACTTGGGTCAGGCAAATGCACGGCAAGCACCTTTCCCCACTGTACTATTGCTCCAGCCCCAAGTAACACAGTAACAACAAGTCTCACAATGGAGACAATAGAAGGACAGTGCTACTAGTTCCGTTTTAGCAAAACCCATTTGTTGCTTATGGCCCCTGAAGCAACCACCACAATCCAGATTTGCTGTCACAACTGGTTTACCTGGATCTCTTCCTTCACCCCAGGCAGCCACTGATCTGCTCACTGTAGATTAGTTGTTATTTCCTAGAATGTTACATAAGTAAAATCACTTGGTATGCACTCATTTTTTTTTGTCATACTGCAACCACCCAGCATAATTTTGAGATTTAGTCATGTTGTATAGTAATATTTCTATTTACATAGTGTTTCTGTTTTTGTTTTTAGTGGGGGTGGGGTGCGGGTGCCACACCTTTGCTCAGTGCTTCCTCCTGGCTCTGCAGTCAGGGGTCCCTCACAGAAACGGAACTGGTGTCAGCTATATGCAATACATATACCTGGACCACATACAAAAATCTGATTTTTGTTTCTTTGAGGGGCTGGAGCAATAGCGCAGCGGTAGGGCGTTTGCCTTGCACACAGCCAACATGGCCGAGCCGAGTTCGATTCCTCCGCCCCTCTCGAAGATCCCGGCAAGCTACCAAGAGTATCTCGCCCACATGGCAAGGCCTGGCAAGCTACCCGTGACGTATTGGATATGCCAAATACAGTAACAATTGTCACAATGGAGACGTTACTGGGCCCGCTCGAGCAAATCGATGAACAACAGGAGGACAGTGACAGTTTCTTTGAGAGGGTAGAGGGTCCTCCTAAGTTCACGGCGGCCTGGGTCACACACTACAATTCTCAGCCCACCGGGCCAAATGGTTCAGTGCTGGGCCCCCCGACACTGCACTGCTGGGGCCCCCTGGTGCTGGGGACCATGAGGGCTAGACCCAGCGGGATAGGGAGAGGCCAGACAGTGCTGGGGATTGAACTTGGTTCCTTGCTCATGTCCTGACTCCTGACCTGTATCACTGCATTATATATTAAAAGAGTCATTCACCAATATATCACAATAATAAATGCATATATGTACCCAGCGGAGCCCCAGAAGCAAACAGTGACCTAAAATGAGGAGCAGTGGGGGCGTAAGGGGGGCACACCTGGCTGTGCTCAGGAATCTTTCCTGGCAGTGCTCTGGGGACCTTGTGTGGTGCTGGGCTGGATCAGGGGTTCAGCTGCATGCAGGCAAGTACCTTAATCCCTGTGTTCACTCTCCAGCCATCATTAACAACATGGAAGGGAGCAGTCCTTCTGCAATAATACTTGAGATCTTCCAAGTATATCTCTTCCAGTAATGAAAAGAATGAAACTTGGCCCTCCCAGTACCTGACTGATAGCTCAGAGTTAAGCGAACTATCTAAATCAGCTCACTGTTTAGCTGACCCAGTGAATACAAACAAGCAGAAACTCACTCAGCCCACCTTGTTTCAGCATGCCTTTTACCTTCAAAATACCTTGTCAAGAATCTGTTATCATATTTTAGGAGATAATGTACAGAAAATATATTCTGTTGCCCATGAGCTGTTTTTCCGCTGTCTCCTATTTTTCCTGAAGTTCCTGGTTTTTGTTTTTGTTTCTTGTTTTGGAGGGGAGGTTGTTTTTTGTGTGTTGTATGGTTTAGAGCCACACCCGGCAGTGCTCAGGGTTTGCTTCTGCCTCTACACTCAGGGATCCCTTCTGGCAGGGCTTGTGAGACTGTATGTGGTGCCAAGGATAGAGCCCAGGTTGACAACGTGCCAGGCAAGAACTTTAACCCCTGTTCTATCTCTCCAGCACATCACCTCCTCCTTTTTAAAGAAACACAAAATGAAAATTTCAAACCACTTCTATCTGTATAAAATATTCCTTAAAGGGTTGAGGTGGGAGCTCTAAGCATTGTTCGTACCTCTGCTGTGCTCCAGACTGCAGTACACAAAACCTTTTTATTTCCTACAAAAGCCAGTGTGACCGTGTGACTTTCTGATGCAGAAGGCAGTGAATCCCCACTCAGTATCAAGAATATCTAGTACTAGGGGACTGGAGAGATACACAGTAGACTGGGCGCTTGCCTTGCTCGTGACTGGTGCCTGGTTCCATCTCCAGCATCCCATATGATCCTCTGAGGCCCACCAGGAGTGATGCCTGAGCTCAGAACCAGGAGTGATGCCTGAGCACTGCTAGGTGTGGAAGTATCAAGACCACTCCTGCCCTCCTCAGGAGACTGGGGGGGACCCACTGTATGGGTTGCTGGGAGTTGATCATGCGTTAGCCCTGCACAAGGCAAGCTCCACACGCACTAGAGTGTTGCTCCAGTATTTTGTTTTTGTTTTGGGACCACATCTGATAGTACTCAGGCTTTACTCCTGGCTCTGCACTCAGAGATCACTTCTGGTGGGGTTTGGGACCATATGGCATGCTGGGGATTTAACCCGGGTTGGCCATGTGCAACGAAAGCACCTTACCCGCTATACGATCTTTCCAACCCCCTACTGTAATAATTTTAATGGCAACAAAATTTTGATCTTCGTTTTCTTGTCAGCCATGAAAATCAAGGGATCCTCAGGACTGAGTGTAGCTCACAGAGGCTTCAGGTTCCCTGGGCAGGACTTGGGAAGACCCGCCCCCGCCGCCCCCCATGAATCAGATCTCAGCATACTTAAGGTACTTAATAATAAGCTATTAAATTACTGATTTTCTTTTCTAGAGTTCAGCTTACAATTAACATAAAATGACAACCTCTTGGAGTGATCGGTTACAGAATGCAGCAGATATGCCTGCTAACATGGATAAACATGCCCTGAAAAAGTATCGTCGGGAAGCCTATCATCGGTAAGTTTTTAGTTTCTTTTCGTCTTTGGAATAGTTGTACGTTGGGGTGGGAGAGATAGTCCAGGGCTGAAGTCACACAGCTGACCCCAGTTCCATACTCTGCACCCCATGGTCCCTGACACATTGCCAGGTGCAACCTTGGGGGTAACCCTGGGTAACCCCAGCACCAAGAGCCCAACTAACTACATCTCTGCACCCTCGCATTGAACTGCCTCCCTGGTTGGCCGAGAACTGAGACTCTGGAAGGGAATTCTGCTTGGAAGGCCAGAGAGGAGAAAAAAATAATGTTCCGTGAAGAGAGCTAGTATTATCTTCATTTTACTTGAAATTAAAAAGACACAACTGATTTCATCTATTTAAAAAACGCAGTTAGGGACCCACGTGATAGTATAGTGGGTAGGGTGCTTGCCTTGTACATCGCAGACCTGGGTTTGATCCCCGGCATCCCATATTGTTGTCCCCTAAGCCCCACCAGGAGTGAGTCCTGGGTATAGAGCCAGGAGTAAACCCTGAGTCCTGCTGGTTAAGGCCCCAAGCAAAAGTATGCACTTTTTTTTAAAAAAGTAAATGTTTAAGAGTCAGATATAAAGTTTGTGATAGACTGAACTTGGGAATACTTAACGCTAAATTTGAAATTTTCAAAGCAGTGAAAAGGACTAAAAATTTCCCAGATTTTCAGGTTTTGTGATGGGTTCAGGTTTTGTGATGCTGACCCCTCTCTGGCTGGTGACTTTATAAAGTGATGGGATTAAAAAGAAAAAATCTCTGAAGGTTTCTTTCAACTTTAACAACTTCATGCTCAGTAAGTGTTGCTTTGGCTTGAGTAATTGCTAATTAATAATTGCTGACTTGGGAGTTTACAAGCCACGTTGCTTGGTAGAGTCCCGGCCAGCTCCCTCACGAGTGGAAACACACTGAGCATTCACTCAACAGCCTCTTTATTTTTTTATGGTTTTTGGGCCGTACCTGGTGGTGCTCAGAGGTCACTCCTGAAGGGTGATCATATGTATTATCAGGGATCAAACCCTGGTCAGCTCCATGGAAGGCAAATGCTTGCCAGTTGTTCTGTCTCTCCTGCCCTGGGACTCCTAATATCTGACCTAGCAGATCATGATTTCAGCCCTCATGACAGTTTTCATGTGTGCGAGCACACTCAAAAGTATTTCATGATAAATTCATTTAAGCCTATAAAACATCTACGATTATGTAGTCTGTCTAGCAGTTTAAGCTGCTGCTGTTCCTTAAGCTGAGCATTTCAGGCCCCCACCAAGATGTGAAGACACTGGGGCTGGAGATAATAGTACCATGGGGATGGTGCTTGCTTTCCATGCGTCTCACCTGCTCTCGATCCCCAGAACCCGACACGGTCCCTGAGCCCAGCCACTCCTGAGCACAGGGCCAGGAGTAAGCCATGAGCAAAGTGGGTGTCGTCCAAAAACAAAGGAACAAGTGTGAAGACTCATGAGTCATTGGGTACAAGTCTACAGTGTTGTGTCATGTTGCTCCATACATATGTATAGGAATCTAAATGTAAAAGTGCTTATATATAAATAAGGTCATGTTTACATTTGAAAGATACTCAGATGTTTTAATTCTTTCTGTCAGTTATTTACTTAAGCCTTTATGCTGTGAAGTATACATTGAATCATGATTAATATAGTGGAGGAAACAAGGACTAGAGTGATGCAATGAAGAGATCTTTTAGTAAACATCAGGTGTCATAATCATATGTAATAATAGCTTGATAGCACCTCTGAGCCATTTGAAATATTTCCTGAAAGATTTCAGATAGTCTCTGCTATGTCCTATGTTCTTTGTATAGTAGTAGTGCAACCTATAATAATACAAATATAACATCTCCAAGAGATTGCAATTTTGGGTTATTTTAAATCACTCTTTGGGCTGGATGTACCTAGTCGTAGAGCACTTGCCTTCCATTTGTGAATATGATGTGTCTGCGGCAGGCAAGTGACACTTGCCTGTCAAGTGCAAGGCTAGGAGTTCAAACCCAGCTATACTGAGGCATGCCCGACAGCTTTAATATTAGGGATCCTCTTGAGAAAGGGCCCAGAACATGATTTAGTGGCTTCGAGAGTACCCAGGGCCGGCTTAATTTCTGAGCTGAATTCTAGGTTTGGTGGCACATAATATAAAATCTGCTATTTTATATATTTTGTAGTGGCAGGGATTGAATCCAGGGGCCTCATACATGCAGGGCAAGTATTTTTGTTTGTTTGTTTGTGGTTTTGGGCCACACCCAGTGGTGCTCTGAAGTTATTTCTGGCTCTGCACTCAAGAGTTACTCCTGGTGGGCTAGGGGGACCTTATGGGGTGTGGGAATTGAACGCAGGTCAGCTGCATGCAAGGCTGACACCCTCCGTACTGTTCTCTCAGTCCAGCTCAGTAGTCTACTTCTGAGCTACATTTCCACCCCATCTTCTTATTTTCTTTTTTGGGATCTCCCCAGCAGTGTTCAGGGTCCAGGTGCGTCAATGCAGGGATCAAGAATATGGTGGTAGGGGCTGGAGCTATTGCTCCAAATACAGTGGGCAGGGCGTTTGCCTTGCACACAGCCAACCCAAGTTCCATCCTCAGCATCCCATATGGTCCCCCAAGCACTGCCAGGGATGATTCTTGAGCCCAGAGCTAGGAGTAACCCCTGAGCATCTCTGGGTGTCGCCCCCAAAAAAAAACCAAAAAGAGAAAAAAGAATATTGTGCTAATTGGGCCCTCTGGGGCCAGTGACTGCCACCTTTGAGGTGCTCTGGGACCTGTAGGGCTACAGAGGGTAGGTGCGCTAGGGGCCATAACATGCTGATTGTGGAAAGCGTGTGCCCCTGACCCCCAACTTTCCACCTCTTCCTGCTTTCCTGAGTAAGGTTCAGTGGCGATAAATGCATCGCATTGTTGCGCGGACGCCAGCACCTTCTGTCCTTCTGACTCGCTATCTGGGGTAATTGAGACTGTACCGATAAAACAGCGGCTCTCTGTTCTCCAGACTCCGCCTTTTCGATTTTGACTACTCTGCGTGCCTCTTCTCAGTGTACTGTGTGTGTGTGTGTGTGTGTGTGTGTGTGTGTGTGTGTGACTGCTCATCCATGTTGCAGCATAATGCAATTTGCAATTAAAAAAAATCAAATTCTTGAACTCCGGCAGGTACTTGTTCTGTTAATTAAAAATGAGAAAGCGTTTAGAAGAAATTGTATTTTACTTCAACCTGTTGGTATTTGGGCCACAGCCAGGAATGCTGCTTTCCACTTACTGTGTGTGTGGTGGGAGGAGGGCAGGGGGGTTGCTCCAGGGGACAGTTCAGTTCAGGGACCGTGGGGGGGGCGCGGTGGGCATGGGCTTCAGCCTGCAAAGCGTGTGCAAAAACTCTTGTATTGTCCCCCTACCCCAAGAAGAAATTTATTTAAATTTTCTAGTTAAATCAACTGCTATTTTTTTTCTCCACTTTAAACACCGTGGTTTACAGAGTTGTTCACAGTGATTTGTTGCAGGCTTTGACGATAAGTCCCACCACTATCTCCCAACACCCAGTCTCCCCACCACTGTCCCCTTCCTTCCACCATCGTCTCCGTTTTCTTAACCATCCCTCGAGCCTGCCCCTGTAGTAGGTTCAACAGTAATGTATTGTATATTGTAGAGTGTTCTTTCATGACTTTTTATTAGAGACTCTTTTTGGGAATTGGTAATATATTGGTTAAATTGGTAATATATTGGTTAAATTGGAATATATACTGATCATTCATCCACTATGCTGTATGTGCTTTCGAATTTCTTTCTAGAAGAATCTACTTATTTTTACTGAACTAAATAAACTCCAAATTCCAGCCCTTTTCTTGCTTAATATTAGTCTTCTTAATTTCAGTGTGGTCACCTGTCATTATTAAGAAACTGGCTTTTGGAATGTGAATGACAATTGTTCTTCACTTCCTTATTAAGGTTGATGCATCTTCCTGGCTGAGGAGGGTGATCCTGGCCAGCCCTTCATTTGAATATGCGCTGCTATATATTGGTTGATAGGTTGAACTACTCAGATGTTACAGTGGCTTGAAGGAGGCAGATTACCTCATTGTCTCCAGTAGCTCCTTGTTTCCCATTGAGAATCTGATAGTGATCAGTAGAGATCGGAATTTCTATCTACTGAATCCAAGAATGGAACAATTAGATTTTTCGTCTGCTCTTCACATTGATTGTGATCAGGATGCTGAACTCAGGTATTTGTTTTTTACTATGTTTTAAGTTTCAGTGATTTTTATTTTTTCTTTCAGTAAGAAGAACTTTTGTAGGAGAATTGACTATTGATAAATGAATGCAGTTTATGAACACTGCAATTGCTTTTATGTTGAATTGATATTTGCTACGTAGTTGGACTGGTGATTTTGTGGTTAGCTGATCTTTTGCCTTATTTTAAATTGACTTTAAATTTCATTGTCTGTTTAACTGAAATTATTTTTTAAAATAGAAATGTAGGCCTTCAGATTATGTCAGTTGTATTTTTTCTTTGAATTGTTTTTTCTTCAATCAAAAGAAGTTTATTTTATATGTTTAAGGAACAAAAAGAAACATAAGTATGTAAAAAATATAAATATGCATGTATAAAATTACATTTTGTAGTTCCTGTAACTTGGCGCATATGAAGAACTAAGAATGTTTTTTATTTCATATTTTAAGCCCGGCAAGCTACCGAGAGTATTGGATATGCCAGACACAGTAACAACAAAGTCTCCAATGGAGACGTTACTGGGCCCGCTCGAGCAAATCGACGATCAACGGGAGGGCCTTTACCTTTGGGGCTGGAGCGATAGCACAGCGGGTAGGGCATTCGCCTTACAAGCGGCCAACATGGCCGACCCGAGTTCGATTCCTCCGCCCCTCTCGGAGAGCCCGGCAAGCTACCGAGAGTATTCGATATGCCAGACACAGTAACAACAAAGTCTCCAATGGAGACGTTACTGGGCCCGCTCGAGCAAATCGACGATCAACGGGAGGGCCTT